AATGAGACTGTAGATGGTTAAGGTCTGTTTATTACTTTAATTGCTGGTGCTTATATACTAAGAAGATGCGTGAGATTTTCAGATTTAGCTATCCTAACAAACGTGCAACAATTAACATGTATGTCTTATCTCTATCGTATCTAAGTAATGTAGCGACGTGATAGTGCCGCTACAATATACTCTAAACTGAATTCATGTCTACTTTTCATGGAGATCAATCCCTCCCACACCCAATCCTTCTCCCTCACCCATCCCTACAATCCTTAAATATCCCAAAAAGGCCGGCAACACATTCGTTACTCTTTTGGTATTGCGGGGGTCCATGGGCGGCGCTGATTGCTTACCATCAGGTAATCCCTCTGTTCACTTGCCGACCTATACAATATAAACCATAAAAAGAGAGATTTATGATTCGAGAAGCACAGGAACGATAGAATAAGAATAAATAGTTACCTCAGCCTTTCTCCTGAGGAAGGAGAAGTAGAGCGTGATGCGGGAGTGAGTGAGGGCCAGCTCGGCGAGGACGGGCTCTGCGCTGAGCGGCGAGCTGAGCCCCCGCGCCGGCTCCACGGCCAGGCGCCGCGCCGCCACCAGCTCCCCGTACACGCGACGCACGCCCGCGCATACCTACGCCAACGTCATTCGAGGGACGTAAACAAATACTTCTAATGTCGTATTTTGTCTCTTCCATAAAACATTCAGAAAAGATCCAAAATTCCTAGTGCGAGTGTGTCCTATGTTTAATATGGTAGTTTCCAACTAGTCAAATTCAATACTTTTATTCAAATGTCAAAAACGATACTTTTGTATGAAAAACTGAGTTTTGATGTTGTAGTTTTTTATGCGGCAAATAGTTTACTTATTTCTTAAAAATTATCTAAAATTCAATGTATCAATCAATATTTTATTGTATTGAAACGTCAAATTAATTTATTTTTGACCTGGGAAACTACCCAATTATGGGACAGTCAAGCTTTGGCACGAATGAGCCGAGCGAAATTATTATCACGGCATAAATCCGCAATCCTTTCCCCATCCAATTCGCAAATACCCTTACTTGAAATCCCTAATAACCCACAAGAGAATGCATTTGTAGTAACTCCTTTGGTATTACGAGTGTCCATGGGTGGCTCCAATTGCTTACCTAATAAGTAATCTGTTTGCAAATTATACCATAAAAAAATCATTCGGCGCATTAACCTGCTCCAAATCAACTAACCAATCAAAGTTATCACAAAACAAATCACAATTGGCACTAGATACTCAGCTGGTTGAGCCCTGTAAGAACAGTTTAGCAAGCACTAAGTTAGGGTATACATACGGCAGGCTGTATGGCGAGCAGCGCGCGATGCAGGAGGCCGGGCGCGGCGGGGGCGGCGGCGCGGCGCGCGCGCTCGACGGCGGCGCCGCCCGCCTCCACGACGCGCGTCACCGCGTCCGCGAACACCGCCGCCTCCGACCGCGCGTCCGTCACTATGCACGCGCGACGGATCACTGCCTCCGTCTAGTCAGTCAAACATTGTTATTCTTAAAGTATTGTAACTTCAAATTAATTCCAATGTCAATCACAAGGAGGCACTCTTCTTTAGTCACTTTTTTAAACAAACTGCTCAACAACCACTATGCTATGTACGCCGTAACAGTGTCATGGGTGACTTGATGTAAAAACACAATGTTGTAGATGACTTCTTTCACCCAGGGTGCAGCGAGAGGGACTGTCAGACTGTTACTGACTAAACTCCCCCTGTTTTTTCTCCTGCTCTAGGCCGAGTGCCCAGCAACCCCAGCAACCTTTTAGCCTTGTGGGTAAAAGAATGTAGGAAAGGAATAAATTACAACCAGACATGACAACCAAATGAGAAGTTAGTTATGTGACCAGATTACCTTTTTGAAAACAAAATAGAATACTCAGTTGCGAGAGATAGAGTTTACTAACTTGTGTCGCCAGATATTTGGCGAGAAGATCGACTCCTTCCTCAGCACGTCCGATTTGCGGGAACAATTTAAACAATCGTTCTATGCTTGGCTCGTCCTCCTTGCGTGCTGCCTCTTCGAACCTTTGGACATATATTACACAATTTATTTAAATTCAAATTTATTAAAATAATATTTTTCAGATTTTATAAAACGAGATGTTTAAAATCATGTATTTAAAAGTTTTTGACTTTGAAGACAAAATTGGCTTGGCAAGGCTTGTCGTAAATTCTTCATACACAAATTAAATATATGTATGTTATGTTTTTGATTTATTTAAAAGATTTAATTTGATTTATCTTATACTATATATTCTAGATAGAATCCTCAAAATACATGTATCTATTGATTTTTCTTAATCAGAAATGCACTAAATACAAGAAGATAGTAGGTAGATAGTCTACATATATCTCAAAGTAAATAAAAAATTACAAAAAGACAGAACAAATTCTCAGTATAATAGCTTAGGTAGGCTATTTCTTGCTTACATGAACACACTCAAAATGTATACTACTTACAACATGCACACATATACACTACATTTACATACATACAGGTAACACAGGTTTTCTTAGTTTGGGTTTTTGATTTTCATCTGAATAATTAATTCTTAAGCTAAGATTATGACTTACTTGTCTATAAAGGTAAAAAGTAATTATTTTAATAATTAAATCTTACTTGCGCACTAAATGTTCTCGAAGTGTATTTGCGGCACGAGTCATTGCATCCCGTGGGTCTGGAGCTCCACGAGCTCTTGCTGCAGCCACTGAGCCTGGATCCATGCTAAGAAATCTAGACACATGGCCCGCACCTTGAAATACAGATATTATATTTATTAATTGGATGTGATATGTTGCTTTTTACAAAATTCTTAGAATTTAACAGTTAAGTTTTAAAAAAACATACCAGTTTCATAATCATGTGCTTTGATAGCAGCTTCAACTCCTGCACTACACAGCTGAAGGTCTATTAAGTCATGTACGCGACGTTGGCATTCTGCTACGCGAGACTAAAACATCAAGAAGTTCTTTCACTTCAGTACTTTTATTTTATATTTATTAAATTTATTAATGAAAATATATCCTTATGATATTTACCCTCGCCAGGTCCAGCTGTCGTACTTTAGCACTGACATCTCTTGCAAGACCGGCAGTTTTCTCTACCATATCAGCAGCAATTTGAGAATCCGTCTTTACTTCATTTAGCTTTGTATACGCCTGACTAGCAGCACGAAGACGACCTTCTAATGAACAGGCTCTCGATAACACTCCCGAGAGAGCCTCGTCCACCTCCGCCTACGGAAATATCATCATATTTACAAATGCAACTTGTGTTACTTGTGCCATCGTCACCAAAACAGTGCAACTTACCTCTTCTTTCTCGATATCATTGAGTGCTTTCTGCAATCCCTCATCCGTAGATACATCATATTTTTCCAATAACAGACTGAGTGACATTTTCGAAAACTTTTATTATTCACATGTAGTTTATTTTATTTAAAACTTTACCATTATTTTATCGAAAACAATTCCGAATAAAATCAACAGACAGACAAATGTCAATGAATGTGTCAATGTGACATTGACAATTTGACAAATCTAAATTGCCATTTATGAAATATCAGCTGTGTTGTGGAGTAAAGTTGGACATATTAATATAATTCTAATTTTTAAGTATCATGCTACAAATAACATATGCTTCCGTTTTAAAGACTTATTTTTATATTTTATCACACAAACATTTTTTCTGTTGTTAGAAAATAAAATAAAAAAATAACTTCATGACACTTGACAATAGTGAGGAACAATCAAAACCTTGAATCTGTTTAGAGTTAATGTTGATGTATGTAGGGTTAATATAATTTTTGACAACTTGAATATTGAATAGTTTCAGAAATGAAATGTGTCTATTGAACCGTTGTTTTGTGAAATTATTTTGTATTGCTTTTGATACAAATGAAAATGATATAAGTTATAAATGTTTTTGAGTGAAGACCAACAATAACCTTGTCAGTTATTTTGATCAGACCTTCAAAAAATTGACTAGTGGACAAAAGTGAGTACGATACCTATGCTGCAACATTAGTAAACATAAAAACTTGTGAAATCGTAAAATCGATGTGTTGTTAGCTAACTGTTCTGTATTCCTCAGGGCGTTTAAAAGTGTAACTCTCCTTAGAGGACAAGTTTTTCTATACGGTCAAATAGGAATCGTTAAAGGTGAGTGCTGAGTGAGACTGAGGGCAGATATTGCATAAATTAGTATTGGCAAACAAGATTCATTATTGTGGGAACGGATGGGTTGACGGTATCACTGGATGGTGTGTGTTGCAGATTGACTCCGTGTGGGGTTGGGCTTCGCCCCCGCTGCGGTTGCAGCTGGGTAACTCACGCGGACACAAGAGGTGAGTGAACTTTCATATCATTGACTAATAATTGGCACGAATATTTTTTCACATACTTTGAACAGTTTATTAATTGATGACTGTGATAACATGCAACATGAAGTCATTGTTACACCTCTGGCTGGGTTTGTATTGTAAATATGAGGCTGGCAACAGCTGACTGTTTATGCAGCCTAGTGGCAACCACTAACACTTAACATGTCTGTGTCACCTTTAGTGGGAATGAGAAGCAAGTAGTTTCTAATCAAATGTTTCTTGCAGTTTTGATTTTACAAGAGATACTTGTTGTTTAATGATAAAGATTGTTTGTTTGGTAAGAAAGCAAGGTAATGTCCTCTCCTTTGTATGATAACATGAGTAGCTATCTGATAAACAGTAACAACGGCCAACTAACAATGTATTTAATGTAATTTAGTACATTTTATAACCAAAATTTTTCTACCTAGCACCTAAACAGTAAAGAATTGATTTCCATAAAACATTAGTTGACCCGATGCCCCCTTAGAATAACTGTAGTGATATATTGTAAATTGGGTCAATAATTGAGTTTAAATTTATTTAAACAAATGGTAGGTCAACAGCAACTTGAGACAATGAACTGTTAACAATGTTTACAGTTATTCTTATTCTTACATTTATTTGTGTTGAGTTTTTGTGTGTGACAATTTGAAAAATTTATTGTGTGGACTTGAAATGTTATGAAAAATGAATGCAACCTCTTCATGTAGTATAATGCACACTGGGTGATTGTATTGTGAGCTCCACTTGTTTATAATTCCACATAAGCAAATGAACATTTCCTGGTTAACTCTCATATTTATATTTTATTTCAATGGCTGCACTACTCAGAGAGCTGTCTTATTATTTTATTTTCTTAGAACACTACCTGTTTTCTTAGAAAATAAATATGTATATATATAATAAATATAGGAATCACCATGTAGAATTAAATGTAGGTCAATCTACATAGATTTGTTGATGGGAAATTATCTAACCTTAGAAATAAGGAAATAAAATTTAAAATTACCTACACGATATAATGACCCTGTGCTTGTAGTTGATACAGAAATCAAACAAAGATATAGTAAAATAGTGTATACAATTAGAATGCTTTACGGCAGCACCATTACATCAGCATCAATGTGTGCTACTGACATTACACAAGGTGATTGTGTAAATATGAGAATTAACAGAATTACCAATTAGTTTCCTAGTTAGGAGAGAGTCACTAAGGAACCAAACCAATTAGCCTTGGCTGTGTACTGAATACCTGTTTTTTCTTCCGCATAATTCTTTTTTAATTCCAAAATAGTGTGAGCATTATTATTCAGACTACATTATGTAACTTTACTTACATTATTAAATTATATTATATACTGTAATAAGATAGTTGGAAGACCTTTACATTATAACATTACCATAATCTACATTTTTATAAATATATTGTGAAGAGGTTCAAGCAACTTTTTTTTTGTTTTTGTGATGAAATTAATTCGTCGCACGTGTAGCGGACTGCCGCATTCCAGAGCCATTTTAAACCGCAAATGTAAAAAGCTCATAATGGGACTCCATTCTGTCTAGCCTTCGCAATTAGTTGGTATTGAAAACTCCAGACCCAAAATTTTCCCTACCATTTCACATAGGTAAAGTGCAATTTCGCCTTCTCAAGTTGCGAAAATAGGTTTTCACAATGGGAACGCCCTTGGTGGTATTGAGATTATCGTTTATCACTTTTGTGATGCAAAAACCATTTTTCTCTAGACGAAAACTGGTTACTCTACGATTTACGTTATAGAAAATAGTTTGCAGCGAAATTTTAGCACGCTTTGCATGATATTCATATACACAACACGATCCAAGGTGGTTGACATTTCAGCACCAGACTGACCTACTTTCCTAACTTAAACTTAGGTAACTCCTCAGCTCGAAACATTGATTTTGCTATAAGTAAAAATTCCTTTTAAAATGTTTTCATTTGTGACAAGTTCTAAAAATAGGTTCCATTCGCAATAAAGCAATAGAACAGGTAACTGGCGACCCATATAACTTCATGGACATAACAGTAGGCGAGATCGCGGGACAGATCTAGGTCATGGAGCGACGGATCCACATTGTAATAACAGTCAAATGGACGATTTATTTATAATGCTTTGATAATAATATTTTAGTTTCTCATATGATCTAATTAGATAAAGGCTGATATTTTTAGTTCGCGGTGACTAATATTTATGTGAATACGAGTAGCACTTCGATTAGGTACTCATAACGTCTCGTCATCAGGGAAAACACAAGTTTCATCCATTTTACGTCGAGCTATTTATAAATATTTTTAGTACTTTTTGGCCTAAATAACATTTTTTATCTGTACCAAGAAAATGATTATAATATTTTTAAACAACAAAATTTTGAAATAACAGCTTATTGCCAATGTAGGTACAGTATTAGTATGAGGCTTGAAAACCTCTTGGTTTCGTAACAGCTAACTTGTTTATGTTACGTTGAGCGAAGTAAAATAAAACAACACTGCTGATTTTAATAATATTATTGCAAAATAATTATTACAATGTAAAAAACAAACAAGTGCTGCATCTACTCTTACTGTAAAAAAATCTTAATTTCTGAACTTAACTAAACTCGTATCCGCAGCATACACATTAAAGAAGTACCCTTTGTTGAGTTTTGGCCAACCCTCTCGTCAGTATTTAGTGCCATACTTACTTGATATAAAAAAAATAATTCTTACATAAAAAAAATAAAAATATATTCCCTTTAACAAGCAGATGCTGGCAGTTTATTGTATCATCAGCATCGGCCGGTGCAGTAAGTACACAGGCTGTTGTGAGTTGTGACCTCCCCTTTTCTTTAACTTAGTTCACAAAATAAGTAAAGGAGGGTCTGTAGCAGCGTACTCAGCAGAGTACTCAGAGCCAAAAAATCCGTCATCCATCAAATCTGTACCCAAGGATATGGGTCTAGTATCGGAGATTAGATCTTTTCGGAAGGACGTCTTTTGGTGAAAAAACCCAAGCCAAAGCCAAGAAACTTCCGATTTAAGGGCTGCAATGAGTGTATCAATGAGGTGGATTTTTTACATCCAATTAAAGTTTCAAGTTCAGCTTTAAATTGATCATAACTTAAAACAATGCGAATTCTACACATTCAATTTATAATTCGCAACAGTTCATGGGTTACCTATTGTGGCAAATATCTTATACTTACGATTAAAATTACTCGCGTTCCGAGGTTTTTACCAGAATAGCTAATCTTTTGTTTTCCATCGTCATAGTTTTATATTGGACAATCACATTACAATGATGCACGCTTGCCTCTGAATATTCGATTGCCTTTCTTGCAATAGTTGCAGCATTTACAGTCAGCCCATCAGTCGTGTATGTTTGTTGTGTGAACATTCTCTAGTAATACAGTAATGTTGTAGTCTAGACTCCCACACCTATCAGAGCATTAGTCGCCAAATGCGTATTTACTTAACTTCACAAAATAGTAATAAAATTAAAAAAGTAGGCAAATAAAGTTACACAAGTATTGTTGCTAGTAGCAGTATCAGACAAATATTTAGTTAGGGTATATCTAAAGTCTAGATAGCGTTTATATTTTTACTAAGAATACCTACTGTAAATATGTAGATAAATGTTTTGTTCCCGCGATTTGTTTGTAGAGAAATGCTGACGTGCAAATCTATGTTCTATTTCAGCATAACACAAGCTGAATCTCGCAGGCCGCATGCTGCCCTTTGGGCTTTCCGTCCGGCCCGACGCCATATTGTTTGAGGCCCGGAACATGAAGTAATTAATTAACTTACAAAATTACTTTAGGTTAAATGTTGCAATTAAGTGTATCAATGTTTAGTAGGGGCAGAGGCTTGAAAATGCCGATGATATCCGGTGTATTGGCCATTTGAAATCTGTATCAGAACCCTAGTCTCCTGTCTGCAGTGTAGATCTATTGGCTGAAAGTTTGTGCTACATTACAATTTGTATTTGCTGTGTAAATGTTAAAATATTAGGTGCTTTATGTGTTCGCTTTTCGTACAAATCGTACAGTGGAGCGTAGTAGAACGCTTGTGATGTGGATATGGAGTGTTCGCTTGCTGCTGCGTGTTGGTTGGTGGAGATGTGAGATGTAACGTGTGCGTGCTTAGGATGGGCGAGGGCGGGTCGCCGGGGGGCGGCGGCGGCGGCGGCGGGGCGCGGCTGTCGCACACGTCGGAGAAGCACCCGCGCGCCATCCTCGGCGAGCTCTCCGCGCTGCGCCGCCACCGCGAGCTCTGCGACGTCGTGCTCAACGTCGCCAACAGAAAGCTCTTCGCACACCGGTAACTACTTGTGCACATTGCCAAACTTATCCGTATTTAAAAACAATCTTAGAAACGTTTTACTTGTACACCATCTTAATAATGAATCACAGCAAAAAAATATTCTCTTTATAACTAGTGTGGTGCATGTATTGCAGTGTGATCCTGTCAGCATGCAGTCCGTACTTCCGCGCGATGTTCACGGGCGAGCTGGCGGAGTCGCGCGCCACCGAGGTCACCATCCGGGACGTGGACGAGCAGGCCATGGAGCAGCTCGTCGAGTTCTGCTACACCGCACACATCGTCGTCGAGGAGAGCAACGTACAGGTACTTAGATATTACCGATTAACCATTTAGAAAAAAAGCTCGGTGTCTAGTAAATTAAGACCTACATATAATAGTATTACCTGCGCTGGGTTCGCAAAGGATTATTTTTATTTTTCTCTCACCTAATCCTCCTTTTACATTGAATGCTGTCCTACTCAGGCGTTGCTCCCCGCGGCCTGCCTGCTGCAGCTGCAGGAGATCCAGGACGTGTGCTGCGAGTTCCTGAAGCGCCAACTGGACTGCTCGAACTGCCTCGGCATCCGAGCCTTCGCCGACACACACTCTTGCCGAGAACTGCTACGGATCGCAGACAAATTCACACAACAAAATTTTCCAGAAGTCAGTATCGTGTTTCAAACTTACCAAATTTTTACGGAATCTGAAGTGGCACTCAAGTCCCATTTACACGTGAACTTTTTAAAGTAGCGTTAAAACTCTGCGATTCCATTAGAGCAACGTAATTTCATCTTTAACGCCCAACGCTCAGCGTTTAAAATGTGACAGTGATCAAAGCGCTGATGTATGAACAAATACTAGCAAATTATTTGTTTAATATAAACGGAATGAAACTCGTTGTGACAATATTTTTAATACTGACTTTTCTTTGGTTATTACTGAGCTCGTAATGTTTATGATAAAACCTTCCGCAGGTGATGGAAAGTGAAGAGTTCCTACTGCTGCCAGCGGCGCAGCTAATTGATATCGTGTCGTCAGACGAGCTCAACGTGCGCTCTGAAGAACAAACCTTCCAAGCCGTGATGTCCTGGGTCAAATATAACGTGGCTGAGAGAAGACAACATTTAGCCCAGGTAATTAATATAGTTTCAGCTTAGGACCTTTGGTTATCTCACTCGCAGAACGCAACCTCGGGTTTTCTGTAAAACTGTGGTAGCATTCCGGTCAAGGCTGCCAATTCGTGCCGAAGCATAGTTGATTGATTACATATACTAAGTAACACGTAACCTACTCCTTTCGCTATGTTTTATCTAGAGAATATTATATCACAATTCCCTTAATCATATTCCAGGTTCTCCAACATGTCCGCCTGCCCCTGCTAAGTCCGAAGTTCCTCGTGGGAACTGTATCGTCGGAGCTGTTGATCCGATCAGACGATGCGTGTCGAGATCTGTTAGACGAGGCCAAGAACTATCTACTGCTACCTCAGGAGCGACCACTCATGCAGGGACCAAGGACTCGACCTAGGAAACCTACGAGAAGAGGTCAGTTGTGTTGGTTCGTCGGTGGTACGTGTAGTAGCAAAAATTCTGTCGTTGTGGGTAAGATTAAAAATCTTTGGGCCCAAGTTTATATGATCCAGAAATTGTTGTTTCGAGTCTAATTGAGTCTTTCCTAGTTGTCTTTTGGCGAGGTAGAAAAGTATAGATTTTTTATGTCAAAAACAAAATTAGTTTGGAGTTGTGTCTGATGTTGATGGTATGACGTCCAGGGGAGGTGCTGTTCGCGGTGGGTGGATGGTGTTCAGGCGACGCCATAGCGTCGGTGGAGCGGTTCGACCCGCAGACGTCGGAGTGGAAGATGGTGGCGCCCATGTCGAAGCGGCGCTGCGGGGTGGGGGTGGCGGTCCTGCATGACCTGCTGTACGCGGTGGGGGGGCACGACGGCCAGAGCTACCTGAACAGCATCGAGCGGTACGACCCGCAGACCAACCAGTGGTGCGGCAGCGTGGCCCCCACGTCGTCGTGCCGCACCTCCGTGGGGGTCGCCGTGCTCGACGGCGCCCTCTACGCCGTGGGGGGGCAGGACGGGGTCCAGTGTCTCAACCACGTCGAGCGGTACGACCCCAAAGAAAACCGGTGGACCAAGGTTAGTTTATTTACTTTCTATAATGCTGTTTCATTCTATTCTATGTTGATCTCTATAATACGTCATTAGTAATTACCTATCCTAATGATATTATAAGCATTAAAATATTATAAATTACTAACTAGAATTTAATTATATAGTATATAATAGGTATAGGCATAGTATAGAATAGGTTATAGTATAAATTAACATATGATAAGAAAATCAAAGATGTAAAATCATCATTATTTTATTATTTATAGGGGTTATTTCGATACGAACGATTGACAGGGTGTGTTTGGGGAGTTCATAGGCTCTGGTAATACTCATTCGAGTTGAGTTTTTACATTGTTAGCTTGGAGTGTTAATTAAAATCAAAGAAGAACCATTTTTGTTAATAGTCTAAGAGTTTACACTGTTTTAAAGAAATAACTGTTATAGTGTGGTTTGAGACCTGAATTCTTCTTTTTTATTCAAACTTCATAACGAATTTATTGAAGTACTAGTTATTGTCCCGCGGTTTCACACGCTGTTTGGCTTTTACATATCGTAGCGTGATATTTCATAGCCAAAAGAATTGTTCAATTCATACCAGTAGTTCCGGGGATTAGCGTGTTCAAATATAATATTAGTATAGATAAGTAGTGTCTCCTAATTTCAAATACTTAAACATCGACATTGCATCGTGCAGATGTCGCGAACACTCACGTAAGATAAAATTGACATGGTGGCGTGTCCCAGGTGGCGGCGATGACGACGCGTCGGCTGGGCGTGGCGGTGGCGGTGCTGGGGGGCCAGCTGTACGCGGTGGGCGGGTCGGACGGGCAGGCCCCGCTGAGCTCGGTGGAGCGCTACTGTCCGCGCGCCAACAAGTGGACGCCCGTGGCGCCCATGTCAACGCGACGCAAGCACCTCGGCTGCGCCGTCTTCGACGGGCAGATCTACGCCGTCGGCGGACGCGACGACTGCACCGAGCTCTCCTCCGCAGAGAGGTACTCCATTCACTCAACTAACACTAAATAATCGCGAATGCTCGAACTGTTTCGGTTATGCTTATGTGGACCCTGTGTTTACCGTAAGTAATCGAACCACATAAATGAGCAATAATTTTAAACCATTCAACTCATTGCTCATTAGTCTGCAATTTTTAAATCAATGTTATAAAATGAAAAAACATTCACTCAATCCAAACCATTTATGATATATTCTTGAATTATCAATAAAATAAAACAATATTCCAGCAGTCTATTCGTTAATGTTCATTCGAAAACGTAAATTAAAATAGCGAAAAACTATTCAATACACGGTAATTTCCAACTAGTCAAATTCAATACTTTTATCCAAATGTCAAAAACTATACCTACTTTTCTATTAAATTTGTATGAAACTCCATACTACCATAGTATTTTTTAAGAAATAAGTATGCATCCTTATTTCTTAAAATTTGGCTTATGAACATCGACAGTTTGATGAATAAAAGTATAGTTATTTTTCAATATTTTATTGTATTAAAACGTCGAATTAATTTATTTTTGCCTTAGGAAACTAGCCAATTCACACGTTTCACCTCCTCTCTAACACTAAACATGACTGTATACTATAGGTACGAGCCCCACACGGACACGTGGTCCCCGGTGGTGGCGATGACGTCCCGGCGGAGCGGCGTGGGGCTGGCCGTCGTCAACGGACAACTCTACGCCGTCGGGGGCTTCGACGGCACCGCCTATCTCAAATCTATTGAAGTACGTCGCTCACATATATCTACTCATTTATGTATTACTAGATTATGCCCGCGGCTTCGCCCGCGTGGTATGTTAATAAAAAGTATGTTCCGAGTGTATCCTATGCCTATACCAAATTTCATCCAGATACGTCCAGCCGTTTTGTTGCAATTGAGTACATACAAACATCGTAACTCTCGCATTTATAGTATTTTTACTTTTTAACAGGCTGATATCTCTTTTACTGGTGATCATCGACGCGTTTGACTCTTATTATGTAGCGACGCACACAGATCGACAACAATGCTCAACAGATGGCGTCACAAATCCTACATCACGCAACTGAAGTTTGCGCGCCAGTAAACACCGATAGAAATTCGCAACGTACAGTTGTTGCACAGTACCCTGTCAGGCTTATCACCTCGCCTGGTTGAAAGATCCTCCTTCTTCGATCTTAGGAAATTTTACTCTCTGTTTCCTAAAGTTTCGAAAGGAAATCTACAAATGGCTATTTGTTTGTGTGCACACTAGATTCCGCTAATGGACTGTGTAGTTAGTTAATCCCTGGTTTACTGCTTAAATAACAGAATGGATGAATAAAATCTTACACCACATGCAAACAAGCAGACGGATTACCTGATGGTAAGCTATCAGCGCTGCTCATGTACACCCGCAATAACGGAGGAGTTAAGCATGCGTTGTCGACCTATTGGGGATTAGGGATTTTAGGATTGGGAAGGAATTGGGGGAGGGATAGGATTGGGCTTCCGGTAACCGCACTCACACGGCGAAACACAACTCTATGGATGTTTTACATTGGTTTTCTGTGAGTTCGTGGTATAAATGTGAAACACCTAAGCTTTTTTTTCCATGATTTTGAACGATTGGCTTTGCTCCAGGTATTTGACCCAGAATCGAATCAGTGGCGACTGTGTGGCGTGATGAACTACCGGCGGCTGGGCGGCGGCGTCGGCGTCATGCGGGCGCCGCATCATGATAACCATTACATTTGGTAACTATACTCTATCACTTACACGCACTCGTAGATTCTAACATAATTGACAGTAATCATTTCACCAGATCAAAATTATTTTGTTCTCAAAAATTGTATTACGGATTTGCACACGTAACAATTCGAGGGTTCTCGATTAATTTCAAGTCGTGACTGAGGTCAATACCCATGAGTAGTGAGTGAAACATTTGTGTTATTTTGATTCCAGGAACAGAAAAGACTCAGTGGTGTGAGGTGGTCACACTTGCGCTGTAAGATACCCCCGCTCCACCTTATCAGTTAAGTCGTTACTCATTTACTTTATTGTTAATACAAATATATTATAATTGACTATTTATAAATTAATGAAAATACAAATTTTAGAATATTATCTTTTGTTTTATTCACTGTTTCACAGTTCTTTATACTCCTTATACTATTGGTAAGACACAAACCGACGGTGGCGCCACCTACTTGATAATATTATGATTGTAAATAATCATTTTTTTTCTTAAATCTTATAAATACATTAATGTAAAGTAGAAATAAACATTGTAAGCAGATTAATTTAATATGTCAGGTGGTGGCCCACACAATTACCATGGGTGCAATACCCATTTAAATGGCTTATTCCAAACCATAAAGATCTTTATATACATTATATTCAACTGCATTTGCTAAAAGATTTTAAACTTTAAATACTAACTTTGTAATACAAAGTAATAAATATTAATTCATGACTCAAATGACTGCATCAGCTTATTAAATACTGCTCCAAAAAACCTCTTAACTCTAAAAGTGCATAGTTTAATGTGGTGTAGGTGGTGGCGGGGACGTGGCCTTGTCCGCGTGCTGATCCTCATTGTCCTCATCATCCCCTTCATCCCCATTTTCCTCTCCATCCCCATTCTCTTCGGTCTCGTCACCATTCTCGGTGTCACCGTTCGCTTCGGCCTCCGGGTTTTCCGTGCTCTGAGTGCGGTCCTGGGATTCTTCTGCGTTCTCTTCTTTGCTCGTGTGACGCTTCTGGAAGAGGAGAATGCAGTATGTGAAACGTGGTATGAGAGAGAGGAATTTATAACGATGCGGCACTCAAGGCTTTCCTTTATTTGTTCACCTGATTGTGCCAATGTAATATAAGGTCTGTACAATCGCTGTAACTGTCAAAAATGGAATAACTGAGAATTGCCAGTAGCTAATTTTCTATTGGAAAAACAGAGCTCATTTTACTTTAGGGCCATCATTTTATGAGCACAAACGAAGAAGTACTTATCGACAAAACTATTAGTTATGTCAATAAGGACTTCTCGCTCAACTTCTATTATATGTGTTGATTTGTAACACTGAGATCCGACCGATTTCCTCCACGATGACGGCCTGAACTCCTTTTTTATTTTTAATGATGAGATATATGATAAGATAAGGATGCATAGATCCGGGATTGTAAGTGCAGGTGCAATATGTTCTATGGCCTCAGCCTGGAGCAGGAGAAGGAAGGAGGTGGTTTTTAAGAGCCTGGTACACTCATCGCTCCTCCCAGTGCTGGAGAAGTAATTTGATGAATTTCTCCTCTAAAAAAGTATGCATAGATTTACCTTCTTCTTTTTCTTGCTCTTGGACTTGGGTTTCCGCTCTGGCTCGCTGTACCCTGGCGGGAAGAACCTGGCACACTCCTCCTGCCCCACGACGGCGTCAGCGCTGACGTGTAAAGGTCCTAAAGCCAAGAGCTCCTCAGGTGGACCTTCAGGGAACAGATCTTCAGGTTCCGCTAATTCAGGTTCTGCTAGTCCCACTGCGATCATAAGGACGATAGTCTCGCAGCTGCATTAGAAAAATAATATTGATGAGTATTTGATGCCACAAAAAAAGTGATGTAGGTAGGTATTCGGTGTTTTGCTTAGGCTTATTATTTGGGACTCTTTAGTGGCAAAAAGTGGGTGTTCATATATAATTTATATTCAGGGGACGGTAGGTTAGACTTTTCATGGCGTGACGAAATTAACAAATAAAGGATAAGGCAATATTGAATTTAGGGGATGACGCTCCTCATTGTTTAGTTAGCGTAATGATACGTACTAGTCCTTCTCCGGCCTGAGTTCGTAAGTGTCGATGTCCTTGGCGAGTAGGCGCGGCTCGTCCAGGTTGGCGTCAGCGTAGAACCCGTACCGCAGCAGGCGGCGCGCTACGTCGGGCGGCCCGCACAGCGAGAGCACGGCGCGGCGCTGCCACGCGCCGAACATCAGCGCCACGTGCGGGGGCTCCGCCGGGCCCGCCGGCTCCACTACTGCACCTACCATCTGAAGAGGGCATACTATTACTTATCAGATAATAAGTATACATTAGTTATAAAAAAGAAGTGTTTTAATTAAAAACACCGGAAAATAACTACTAGTAAAAAAAAAATATAAAACTGGCTCTGTAACCTTGTCGCAAACTTCGTCCCGGTTTTGATTAGACGATTTTTTATGGATAAGCTTTTTAATTAGCCTTTGTTTCTAAATATGCAAGACTTTTTTTATTGGAATTGACTAAGAAGCTTTTGAGCTTATTTATTACGAACAAACACATATGTATTAAGTGTAGATCTACTATTATAGTCAATTATATAAAAAACATTGCTGTCTTCCTCATTTAAAGAGAAGCGGCACGACTTGCAGCCCGTAATACATTGCTCATAATGTTCCTATGTATGATGACGTGGTCTTTTCAAGACATTGCTAGTATTTCAGCATCCATTTTACAGTCGTAACTAAAATAGGTTTCTTAAATTCATAAATGGGGTAGAGGTAGGAAACCTACCTTCGGGAATAAAACATCTAGAACAGCTGCTCTCTCGTGCCTGTCTTTGGGCACGTACAGGCCGATGGTGTTATCTGCGCGCAACTCCGTCACTGGCAGCTTCTTTCTGGCGTCATCATCTTCTGCCAGACCATCCCCACAAAGCGCCCGGCGAGTCAACTCTGCGCAGAAAGAAAATTAACATGATGTTACAGGAAAAAAAAAGAACTGAGCATTATTGATTGGATATGAAAAAGCATTTTATGACGAGTATAAAGGCGTTGAGAGGTTTCCATTCCAGAATTATTTTCTCCTTTCTTACCAATAATATCTCCCTCTTTATCAGGCATCTTCTTGAACAGTAAAGCGAGAGAGGGCCTCTCAATAATCGCAGCTGCTGCATTGGGCTCTCCAAGCTCTGGCTCCTCTACTGCCAAGATCTTGGCGCCTTCCTTGCCCACTACTATCGGGCACTTGTCCGCCAAAAGTACACCTGAAATCACAAAAAATGACTGTTGCTAGGATTGTATATTATGTTGTTGAGTTTCTCAATACAAGCTTATTACATCACACCCAGATCTGATACAACTATGCACGATCAAGGATCTTTATGGGACTTTAGGGCAGCCTGACCGTTTAGATCTTTTTTTATTCATGTCAGGCCAAAGTCAAAGTCAAAATCATGTATTTCAAATAGACCACAGCAGGCAGGTATACACGTAAAACAAAAATAAAAAAAAATGAAAATGTTCAACTTTTGGTAGTGCTCGTTCCAAAGTGTAGTTTCCTATGGAGAAGAACGACCAAGAAACTGGTTACTCTCTTTCAATCAGTTTTATATTTCATTTCTTTGTTACATCATTAAGTCGGTTCTGATGCATAATAACAGTGTAACACTAATGTTTAGACAAAGAATCGGATAAAGAAAATAACCTTAAGGACAGTAACTTTAGAGAGTCTCGAGTTGACCAGTACCAATAGGCGGCGCTCGTTTATGAACATAACACGTAAACCATTGTTATTATATAACAGTGCCCGTGTCACCAACAATGTGACTTTTGAGTGAGTATCATGACAACTCGGCCGGCAAACGAAGTGGGACGGAGTACCTCATGCTAAGCAATCGGCACCTTGCGGATTTCATACCAGAAGAATTGCGAGTGTGAATTGTGTTGCCGTTTGGGGATATTGGTTTTAGATTCGTTGGAGTTGTGAGTTAGGGTTTAGGGCAGGGATTAGTTAACTAAAGTTTTTAGTTTCTGACAGAGTGATTAAGAAAATAATATATTTTATACACACCAAAAGGTTCAATAGTGTCTGTGATCTTCCTCAAGTGTTTTTGTGCGTGTGGCAGCATGAGAGCTGGGCACACGTCGTTGAAGTACATCTCCAGGCGCTTGGCGCGAGCCTCCCGTCTCGCGAACCTCGCCGCTTCCACCGCTGCTGCTTCCTTGGCTTTCTTCTCCTCTTCTATTTTCTGTTGGGCATTCGCTACTTCCTGGAATAAGGAACCGAGTGATGTCTTCTGTTCTCTACAATATAATTTTTTTATTTCAGCCATTGCTCTATAAAAAGCGTTTTTGAATTTAATCTGTACCTGTTCTGGAGTAGTGAGTTCATGCGGAGCTCTCTTCGGTCGTTCTAGTTCTCCTTTTTTCGCCAGTTCCTCATTCCGTAGCTCTTCTTCTATGGTCCGAGCGATACGAGGCGCGTCCGCTCCAAAGACTACGTTCAGGAGTTGTCCAGACTGGCACAGAATAAATATTCCGCCATTACAATAGGTCCTCGTTTGATCGTGACAATGCAAAAGTACGTTGGTACTAAATATATTGTTATGAAGTTTTCATTAGAAAAGAAAATAGATTATATTGCAACGATTTGAACATTGCTGGAGAAACTGCGAAGGAAAGCTCATACAGGTTTTAATAATAAGCTGTGTACGTCTGTTTTCGATCGAACACCTACTTCTTTGAAACAACTCCTCCTACACCCATACAGCTCGTGCTCACAAAGCACTAATCACCATCAAAACGTTTAAAACTTCAAAAGTAAAACAAAGTTTTCCTTGGAAACTTTCTTTTATAGCTGTAGGTATGTTAATGTATATGTCTGTGGTTTTTTCAAGCGTTTGGTCGATACCCACATCCGTGCCAGCTCGCCTTGGTGTAGCGGTGTCATACATATGAGGTGTAGCTCCTAGAATACCTACTTACATATATGTAGAGGGATACGTAAACACGTGTACCGTGCTATGTCGTACAAGGTACACGTGTGACTTCGTACCTACAAGTCCCTCACTTTAGATAACAAAAGAAACTTGGTCAATACAAAAGAAATGAGTTTGTTTTTTTTCTTTATTTGTACTGAGTAAGTTCATCACTCACCGCTATGAACATCCAGGTGGGCTCGCTGCGTTTCCTGAACCTCTTCAGACATTCTATTGTGTCAGATTTAGCCTGTGAAGCATATACCAATGAATTTAAAGAGTTAAGAACATAATAATATACTTACATTCAATCGTTACGAAGATTCCTTACCACAGCTAAATGTAGGTTGTCGCCTCCAAGTTCCACTTTGATTTTCTTCAGGTTTCCCACCATGCCGATGCACGGGCCGCACCACTCCGAGTAGACGTCCACCACTGCATGGCCATAATATAGAATGAAATAAAACACTTGTATATAGTTATCGATAAAATTATGTTTGCTTTAGACCTAAAAGATACTCCAAATTCGTTACAACCAAACCAGATAAAGACCTGTATGGCAGAGCTCAGCTCGGTATCTTTTGTTCTGAAAATGAGTCCTATCTAGATTGAATTTTCTCCCTCAAACTCTTTTTATACAAAATTACATCGAAAATCTTCATGAAGCCCAGGCATCAAACGCGTGTGTTGCTGATACTTAATTCCTCTAAAACCTATTTAATGGATGGTATTCAATCCACCTGAGCATCTATTAAAAAAAAATCGTAAAAAAAAACGTAGGGATATAGGGACAGAGAGAAAGCGACTTTAATTATACAATTTACTAAAGTGCACTATAACCAAATAAATAAGTTTACTTTAAAATTGGACTCACCCAATAGTCCATCTCTAGTCAGAAACTTGTTCCACTCTTCGTCAGTGTTGAGCTCGGCCTGTAACTGGACCTGGGCGGCCTTCTTGCCTGCGCCGGCCGCGGCAGCCGCAGCGGCAGCGTTGGCGACCGCACTCGTCAGAGCCATGCACTCGAGTGGATCCACGAGCGGAGGTGCCAAGCGCGCCAAGCGATGTGTGGACAAGCGGTACGTTGTGTAGAGGTGGCATTTTGGATCGAGGGAGGTAGCGGTAGGCGCCATTACACGTGATGGTGGTTGGACAGGAGTGTGAAGTCAACATATGGTAAGAAATGCGGAGTTCAGATTCGAAAAAAAATTAAACTTGGATTCTCATCGCCAGAGCTTAGTATAAGTTCTAAGTGAGAGTGCATCATACCTATGAACTTGCGGACGTCCAGAGGCACACAATAACGTTGTTTGGCAATCCTATCTGCTTGGGAATTAGAGATAAGAAAACAGATATTAAATATCTATTTTATGTACTGGTAACAATAAATATTATTTTTATTAATTAGGCTAATTCCAGCTTTCTCAATATTGTCCCAATAGATCGCTATTCCTTATCATAGCTCAATGTTCCTCGCATGTCTGACGAAAAGTAGCAAAAACATTGTTTCATAGTCTGTATCTATAGCTATACTATATAGTAGCTAGCAGTCAATACAGTCATAAATTCCGACGTTAATGTACATGTATCGATTCAGGTATTGTAGAAAAGTTTGTGTACTTATGTACTTGGGTACCATGTATAGACCAGACTACCACAGACAAGTGTTCTGAAGGTCTTCGTTGTGCCTGCACACCTACTTTTAATAATGTGCTAATCTTAAATCTCAAACTATCTTAAAATGCTAAGTTGTTCCTTTCCGAACACCTTTTCGTCAATCGTTGTGGAATATAACATACCTACTTAGGTCTTGTTAGTCATCAACAGGTACGAATTTGTGTTGGTAATTTTTTTTTAGATTCATCATCAAGCTGTAATATGTCCGCTGCTGAAAAAAGGCCTTTCCCTTAGTCTTCGACGTCAAATGACAACTCGCCACTTGAATCCATTGGCTTCCCGCGACTCAGACAATGCCGTCGGTCCAGCTAGCGGTGGCCTGCCCTCGCTACTTTTTCCAGACTCTTGGTCGCCACTTTACTAATTTTCGGGCCCATCGGCTGTCCATATTTCGAGTGTCTTAGCCTGCACATTGCCATTCCAGCCTGCAGATTTTACGAGCTATGTCGGTGATTTTGATTTTTTTTGCGCATTTTTACATTTCGGATTTTGTCGTGCAAAGTGACTTAGAGCATAGCCCGCTCGTCTCAGTACCATATGTCATCACCGGCAACACACACTGGTCTTCAGGGACTATGGATTTTCGATGAAAAGACATCGCTTAACTTGCCGAACGCCGCTCATCCAAGTTGGATTCTTAGGGAGACCCAGTTGTCGAATTAAGTAGTTTAATTATTTAGTACTGGTTTACAAATCGGCAAGTAATTATTTAACTGCCTTGTACCTTAATTCATTATTTTACATACCACTATTAGTTTCATTTATTATCAGCGGGTTTCCAAGTTTTTTGTTTTTGAATGCCAATGAGAGAATCGTAACATATTTGGCGTTAATTACTTACTCAAATTGAATGTGCGTTCACACTTCTAGTTTCTGTTATTTTCATTGGTGCCATTCCATACCTATCTACAATATGTAGACCATAGAAATCTTACCATAATACATATCTATATGTAGGTATGTAGCTAGGTAGTTAAGCTCGCTACACACCCACTCAAAAAGTGTGAAACATCCCGGCTGGATCTCGATCCCGACCAATCCCAAGCCTCCATCGGCTGGCAGTAGTCTCTGGTAACTTACGCAGTGGCGGAGGCGCCAAGTGTCTGGCGCCAGAGTGACGGCGGCCGGGATTGTCGATTTTATCCGCGACGGATTTTGCAGTATATTGTTGTTAAACATACATTTTCGCGTGAGATCTGTTCTTAGAGTGATATTAATTATTTAGTGATTACTGATAGTACCTATGAGAGGTATTCGTGTCATTGTGAAGTGAGTTTCCTCAGTGATGACTCTATATATTGTGCGAGGAGATTTTCCATATGTGCTGTATTGTTCTTTTGCTATGGTGATATGTGATCAGTGGAAATTAAAAGTGGCTGTTAACGTTGTTTCCAGGCTTGATCTTGATTAATTAGTCAAGTATCTGGTGTCCAGGTTGGCGATATGGACACGAAGTAAGTTACTAGGTACTCAAATACCCAGTTGAATAGTTATAGGATACAACAATAATCTAGGTTTACTAAGTAGGGACCATTACAACTAGGCTATTTTGAAGAAGGTACTTGAGCGCTAAATGGAGTGGAGTCGTCACTGTACCTACATTTTTATTCGTATAATTTTTTTCATTGGCAACAGATTGTGATTAAGGTTTATGGAAGACGAATTATTTTTGTATACAATTTCATCAGTTATTTAATAGAGGCATAGTAAAACAAAATATTTTTTTCCCAGAAAAGCTTTTCCATTTGTTTTAAGGTTTAATTAAATTAAAAAAAACCATGGCTTTTCTTGCTTCTCGATAGGAGTCTACACTTTAGAACGAGCAAATAGGTTCACTAAAAGGGTTGACCGACAGACTGACACTATACATACATATTTTTAAAATTTTGTTTGTCGTTCAAAAGTGCCTGTAAGGGTGTAATTCAATTATACAGTATGTTTAATGATTTTTGACTTTGACTTTATCCACCGGAGAGGTGCAAAACGTATGAACAGAAGAAAGAGCTAAAGGTGTATATTATATTTTTAATGTTAGTATCGTTAATGTTTCAGAAATTAGTATTTTGTTAGAGCCATCTAGTAGGGAATGGAATAACTGAAATATTGTTCAACAAATGCAACTATTCAATAATAGATGGCGCTATCTTCGTAGTTCATTATAGTCCTACATTTACAAACTAGATGGCGCTTTACGCACATTACAAAGAATATTTATTTCATTCGCTGAAAAAATAAATGTGTAACGTGTGTAGTTAAAAGTTTGAAATAATTATTTTTCGTAAATATTTATTAGAAAATTTATATTTTTTTCGTAACTTAAGTATCTATAATTCTTTCTGTCAATGGAAAAACAGGACTTTAATCAATTACTCGGCAACTTAACCGTCAGTGGGTAATGGATTGCTCGGTGGTCGTAACCGTCGGGTTCGCAATCTGTCACCATCTAGTTAATGCATTAATGCAATCTTTTAACTGAAAGTTACCCCTCCCGAGTCTTAACAGGCGCGTACTTTACAGTAAATAAAGAAATATAGGAGCGTTCTTTACGCAGTCGTAAAATTCTAGCACTTTTCTTTATTTAAACTCGAACCAGAGTTTAACGGTCAAATCTCGATCTGTGATTCTACTACAGTAAATTTTTGTACAACTTTGTATTTTCAACAATTTCAATTAATATAGGTTCTTTGAGCTGTTAAATTGGACTAATTATAGGTACCTACATCTACATTATGGAAAGAACATATAATGTTATTATGATGATTATATGATTTATTTATTTATTTTCCAAAACTTAGACTATTTTTACAGGTTTTGTACCCAATGCAATAGCCTAGCTTATATGCCTAAACAATAATATCTACATATCCTTACTTGACTACAGTTTTATAACATATAACAAACAAAGCTATCCTTGTGAACTCACTCAGAGTACAGACGAATATGTCGGTTTCATTGGCGATATGATATGATGATAAGGCCAACAGGTCGACACATGATCTCAAATCTCAAACCATTTAAGTTTTAAAATTGAGCTCTTAGGTTACGCGTATGAATTATTCGTTATCGAACTTCTCATTTCTTGTCTCAATGCTATCACTAGGTACTACTTACATGTCTTTACTAATTAGTCATTATAACATGTTTACAACTACAACAAAAGTAGTTTTCTTATCCTAAAACAATACTGCTTTGCCGCTTGAAGACAGCTTCTAAAGCTTAAAATTATCGAGAGAACAGTCTCAATCTTTAATACACTAATGGTGATAACAGCTTTGATTTTTTAGTTACATTACTGTAGTAGCAAACCTATTTACTGCCGGGTTTAACGAATGCTTATAACGAATACAAAAATATAGCTGAACGAAGTATATAACAAGGGCTAAATAGAAATAAGTTATTATAAAGAATAAAGAAATTATAATAAATATGTTGTGGTGTGTGGGCGAAAGTTTTCCACATATTCTATGTAAAATGCTAAAAGTTTATAGAATGTTTATGAATACTTGGAGCGTCAGAGACAAATCGGATTGTTTATGTTTCTCTGTCGTGCCCACAGAATAAAAACAATGGTTGTAATTAATCCTGTAGCTAGACATGAAAATAAAGAACTATTTTAAATAGAGGCCTGGCGTTTCAGGCTGGGAAATAATTGTATTTCTCTATAAATAGCTACAAACTCATGAATATTATTTTAATAATAAAAAGTATAGAAACTAAAACCCAACTACGACAAAAAACGACGCTGAAAAAGTACAAAACAAGATTTTCAGAATACTGAAAGGCGTAGTCACACGTTACATATATCTACCTCCCAGCACGTTGACAACGTGTGACTACGCCTTTCAGTATTCTGAAAATCTTGTTTTGTACTTTTTCAGTGTCGTTTCGTCGTCATTTGTCGAATTCTGATAAGTAGTTTAGAAGTTACGAGAGGGAACAGATGAACATACATACATAGCATGCCAAAACCATAACCCTCGTTTTGCTTTGCCGTAGTCGGGTAACAAAAAGTATTTGTCTTACGCGCATATATATATTAGTTACTATATTGTATGAGTGTTAAAACAATACTCAATACTATCCCTACACTTTTTTCAGCCAATGAATCGAATCAGACCCCGGAAACCTTGTAACCTTATAACTGAAGCAATCATAATATATTCACATGGTAATATCGTAGCTCAATATATGATTTAAAGCCTTTTTATGTAGAAGGGGGAAATAAAGTGAGACCTCAAGCGAGCGAAGCAGTAAAACTGAAATAGTCTGAAGGCTGTATGATCGCTATCTGTGTACTGAAATTGTTGTAAAGTTAATTTAATCAGAAATCAAAGTTTTGAAGGTCTACAAGTGAACTAACTGTGCAAGTATCGCATGACGAGGACTTCTGTCTACCAGCTCGTGAGTAACGGCGTGATGTCACAACTTGAGGAGCTAATTAAATTATATTACTTAT